ACCAGTCCCATCCCGTTTGTTAGCGGGACGGGATGGGCCTACCGCTTCGTCCCGTTTGTCTCGTCCCGTCCCGTCCCGCCACCGTCCCGACTAAATATCGTCTCGTCCCGTTAATTTTGTCTCATCCCGTTGGACAGCCTTGATATAGGGTGAGTTACATTGAATAGTCATATGTATGGTTCAATTATAAATATATTCTTTGCATTCTAAAATAAAAACACTTACCTTCCTTGTAATATTTGATGCAATTAAACCAATAATATAAACCGGGGTACAATTAAAATTTAGAAAAATATAAGATTAAATATCCAAGTCAATATAAGATTAAATATCCAAGTCTTTCAATTTTAAGTGTAAAAAATATAAAAACTCAAGAGAAACTCTCATTGGCCATCGCCCTTTCTATCAAATATCAATGCCCGGGTGTGCTCCGAAACCTCAACCGCTTCTGTATTCTGACATGAACTGACAATTCTACCCTTTTCGAGTTAAACTTACCCTTCCAATCCTAGTTCTTTTTTGAGCAGTAGTAATATTTTACTGTATAGATTAAGCTGAAACATGTTATGAAAATAATTATATTGTGGATGTTCATTTATTATTTCGCTATATATAATCTTTCTGAAAAAGATTATCTATTTAGTACTCTGTTGAAGTTTATCTACAAACAGCTGATGCAGGCATGTTGCAAGCAGCTCAATAAAATAACTTGCAGCAGCTTCTTATTAAACAGGCAGGTTGCAAGCAGCTCATGGAGACAGCTTACAAGCAGTTAAAGAAAAGCCTTGCAGCTGCTTAGTAAAAAGCTACTTACTTTCTTCTATAAATAGAAGAGTTTTCAGTTCATTTTTTTATTTTATAACAAAACAAATATTTTAAATAAATAATTTGCATTACTTGCAATCCCATAGTCATTGACTCGACCTCCCCAATTCACTGAGTCAACTCGCCGCCATGTCCGATCACCAACGAAACCGAAAAATCGACCCTTTTCTCCTCAGCTACACCGCCGACGAACTCCTAATTGCCTATGAGTTTCTATCTAATTGGTTCCCCTTTCTCTCTCGTGGCCTCTGCCAAAGCTGTACGCTCACACTCTCCCGTTGCATTCGATCACTCGACCTTGGTAACTCTCTCTTCTTATCCCTTGTAAATTTTTGTATTAATGTTGTAACATGTTTAAGGTATTCGTAAGTTCGTACCTCGTGTAATAATACCCACATTATGCATAAATTCCCCAGCTTTTTGTGCGTTATCTCAATACACTTACTCAAAATGCTCCCTACATGCATAAATTCTCCAGCTTTTGAGTTTTCCTCTTTATTGTGAAACCTTTTTGAAACCCCATTATGTTTTTTCTGCTTTTCGATACGGGGTGAACCAGCCAACTTGGGTCGGCGGAGTAGAGCCATTGGGGTTCAATTGAATCCCGTTCATCGGAAAATTATATTGTGCAAATAGGGCAAATACGAGTTTTTTTGGTTATATATAAACTATTGAATCCCCTTGACATTAGGTAAGATTCTAGATTCTAGTGTAGTGGCAAAGGGTTTTAAAAAATTGCATTAGGTCACAACTTCAAATTCCATGTGTGACATTCTAGTTTCTTTTGTTTTTCCTTCTTTTAAATCCCCTTGCATAAATTCCTGACTCTGTTGGGCCTGTTACCGCTCATAAGCACGGCAGCAAGAATCTTGTCCACCAAGGTTTGAGCAGATGAGCTCATACTGAATGTGGTGGTTGAGATTTGAACTTGGTATCTCCACACTGTTACTCCTTTGTCTCAACTATCCAGCTATCCAAGTACCAAGATCCAGCCAAGATTCATGTAGTGTTAATGATTTGATAAGTATCTTTGTAGCCCTAGAGCATTTTAGTCGATGGGTGAAGTAGTTCAAGATCTTTGTAAATTCATCTAAGCGTCTTTATATACCAATGTGACATTTGATATTATATAACACTTTCCTGCAAGTATAACTCAACCTAGTTTCAAGTATGGACTTTAATGGGGACTTAAGGGTGTAAAAGCATGAATAACAAAAGTTGACTATGATACTATATGAAAGAACCTGAGCATTTAATGGAAGAGCTTAAAGCGCAATACGGGGAGTAGCCAAGATTTTTATGAACCCATTTGGATGTCTTTATAAATCCAATGTGGAACATAACGTTACATGACTCAACATGTTGGTTCAACATAGTATACATATAGTTTGTAGATAAGTTGTGAAAGCTAGAAATTTCTTAGGTGGATAAATATGTGGTGTAGCAAACTGATTTTTTTATCTTTTCATTCTAATGTTGTGGATTGTGATAAATAAGAAATTATAGATTTAGTGAGTTCTCTGATCAGAGAGTTTGTTGGTATGATTACAGAGGCTGCTGGTGATGCAGAACGATTGAAGCAACAAAAGAAATTTACAGTTTTGACTCCCGAACTGCCTGATTTGAACTACTGCAACGGAAATCTTGACAATTGTGTCAACAATTCACTTGGGAGTTGGAAAGAGGGTGCTGACTTATATGATACTGCAGATACAAACTCATTGGGTAGTTGGAAAGACTGCGCAGATAGCTCAGAACGTTTGAAGCAACAAGAGAATTTCACAGTTTTTACTCCAAAACTTCCTGATTCGAATGACTGTAATGGAAATCTTGACAATTGTAGCAACAATTCACTTGGGAGTTGGAAAGAGGGTGCTGACTTATATGATGCTGCAGATACAAACTCATTGGGTAGTTGGAAAGACGGCGCAGATGGGCCACAGCGTTTTGATGAGGCATCAGTGCGTAGGAATAGATCAGATAGTTATGTAGGTGGTGCAGATCCCTCATCACGACCTGTTGAAGAGGCCTCGAGAAGTAAAACATTCAGCTCACCCATACCTGCGGCAAGCATGAGGATGAAAATGTCATGGGCAGATATGGCTCAGGAGGATGAGCTTGATGCTGAGGACATTAGTGAGTCGACTAGCTGGAGTAGTCAGTTAGGTAATGGCAATGGTGTGAATGAAGAGGAAACTTCTATTCAGGAGACTAAGCGAAAAACGGAATTGTCAAGGGAGCAAAGAGAGCACATTCAGTTTTGTAATGTAAAGAGCAAAAAGGATTTCATTTGCTTGGAAAGAGTTAATGGGAAAGTTGTGAATGTACTTGATGGCGTGGAGCTACATACTGGTGTCTTTAGCATGGCTGAGCAAAACAGGATTGTTAAATTTGTAGAGAAGCTTGAGGAGATGGGGAAGAATGGGCAATTAAAAGGTCAGTTTTTCCTTATTAACTTTGCGAACCCCTTTTTCTTTCTTTTCCAGATGAAAGTTACTGTTGTATTCAGGAATTTTATGATGAGGCCTTAGCCCTTGCTATCTAACAGAGAAAACTTGTTCATGCTTTGTTTGAATTGGAAGTAGATTACACAACTAGTTAGTCATATTACACAATTAGTTAGTCATTCTTCTTGTTAAACCTTAGAAATCGTTCCCTGATTGAAATTAAACTAGATAAGGTATTCCAGAATTTTATTGAGCATGGAATATGGGAAACAAAGCCAAAATCAAATATTGAGGCATAAGCTTAGAGTTGCTCTAAGGGGATTTTAAGTTAATTGTACAAAGTGCGTCAGTTACTTTGTTAAGGCATGTGCATTTTGCAAAAATGTTTTATGCTTCTCTTCAAATTTCACTTTTGAATCTTAATTCCACTTCTGGTGGTCATCATAATGATTTAAGGATTTTTTTTCCCTCTTCACTCACTTCTTTAAATCAATTTGATGTGGTTTTACCTTTTCCTTGATGATTGTGGGACGAAGGTATATTTTCTATCTATTTCCTCCTTATGTTTCCATACCTATTTGTTTTGTACTTCAGTTATTAATTCCACGCATTAGCGTGCTCTGACCTGCTCTATTTTGATTGTTTTAGAGCGAACTTATACAGCGCCACAGAAATGGATGAGGGGCAAGGGACGTGTGACAATCCAATTTGGTTGTTGCTACAACTATGCTAAGGTAAGTCTTGGACTATCTTTGAAATTATCCTAATCTCTCCCTCCCCCAAGCTCCAAGTGGGAGGGGGAAAGGGAAGAAGAAAAGAGGATAGGCTCAGAATCTCGCCTGTATGCTTTAGATTTTAGTCCATCTCTGGAGAAAACCTTTTTCCCTTGATTTCTGACCTTATTCAATTAGGTTGTGACAGATATGAGTAGATCACTTATAAAAAAAGAATGTAGAGATATGACTATAACTGAATTTCTTTATGGCAGGATAAGAAAGGCAACCCCCCAGGGATTCTCAAGACTGAAACTGTTGATCCATTGCCTAATCTTCTTAAAGTCATGATTAGAAGGCTTGTAAGATGGCATGTTATGCCTCCAAATTGTGTCCCAGACAGCTGTATAGTCAATATTTATGAAGAGGGGGATTGCATACCACCTCATATCGACAATCATGAGTTTGTTCGTCCATTTTGTACTGTCTCATTACTTAGCGAGTGCAATATAGTGTTTGGATCAAATCTGAAAACAGTGGCTCCTGGTGAGTTTGCCGGTGCAATTGCAATTCCTTTGCCAGTGGGGTAAGTCTTCTGAGTTTTAGCTTTGTCCTTGCAAGATTTCGACTGCTATCAATTTTGACATAACATTCCTACAGGTCTGTTCTTGTCTTGAAGGGAAATGGCGCTGATGTGGCTAAACACTGTGTGCCAGCTGTTCGTACTAAGAGGTATATACCGAACATGTGGACCTTTCTAGTCATTGGTTAATCTTCTGTCAACTATTTGTGTAAGACACTAACATCTCATTAACCTTTTTAATGCACAGGATCTCAATTACATTTAGGAGAATGGATGAATCTAAAAGGCCAATGGGATATGTTCCTGAGCAGGATTTACAAGGTCTTCAGCCATTATCCTATGAAGCAGATAGATATGAGAATTCAAACACCTCTAAATCAAGGCATTCTACCAGAAAACAGTCGGGAAGACAAGAAGAGAATAAGGAAACAGTAAAGATATCAATTGAGAGGAATTTCAAGCCACATTACTTTGGTCGAAATCGACAAGGACCTGCAGATACGCGAAGAGTCTGGGTGGCTGTAAATAAGTGAATGCATGTTGTGACCATTTTGATTGCTTTGGTGGGGGGAGAAGGTTAATGTTGATAGCTTTGCTTATATGTGCAATTCATATGATGTTGATAAAAGTATATCCATAAGATTCGGTTTCTACAAATGGAAAAGAAAAAGAAGTTTTGGTTTCCACTTACTACTGTGATTTGTTTTCTCTATATTTGGTGGACTGCTGAAAGCTAAAAAATTGTCTCATTTGATGTCTTTGCTCTTTTCGCATACACAAAGTTACTGTGCTTCGTAAAGCATAATTTTTTATCTTTGAAAGTCTTTTATTGAATTTTAGAAAATTTGAATACTCGAGGCATGAGCAAGAAGTAGAGGTTTTTTGTTTCCAACTATGGGATGACTTTTAACATTACTAAAAAAAAAACCTAAGGGGAGGTTTGGTGGTAGAATTTATTTCTTAGTATCCACTTCATTAGAAGATATGATATGTGTTTGGTTAATTGAAGCTGGTAAGTGACACAATCTGCTTAGTGAGCTTGGTGGTCAAATGCTAAATTCTTAAATTTCATTGCTAAAACAGAGTATAAAATATTTACATGCTCTCTCAATAAGATTTTTATTGGGAGTTTTTCCTACATATACTATAATAGGAACTTATACTATAATATGAACTTATTAATTTATTTTCTCTAGATTTTGTATTTTTCAAAAAGTATCTAGGTTTTTTTTTACAAATTGTATACATTCCCCCCTTAAAAGTTTCTCATTCCATTATTAATGCCTTCAATTAAGGAATTCAATTATATTCTTTCCTTTTTTTTTCTCACTTCTCCTCATTTCATGCGTCCTAATATCTTGCAGATTTCCTTCTGATAATTTTGCTTCAATTGTTGAATGGTTTTGGTTGAATGGATATAATGTCATACAACATATTATATGTTCATATTATCCTTATAATGTCATACAACATATTATATGTTCATATTATCCTTATAATATTAGGAAAGTAATTCCATAATAGCAACAACAAAAAAATTCTTTGCAGTTAGAAATCCATAAAAAAAAATCAGTTGCTAAAAGTTTTTTCAACAATTCAAAACGTTAAACTCTACCAAAACTATAACTAATAAGATAATGGCTCGTACAAAATTCAAATGTAAATTTAGTCACAAGCTTACAATTGTTGGTCGCCATATATAATTAACATACAATTATCATACATTTGTGATAATTTATGCAACAATATGATACAAAATACAATAATGATACAATCGTGATACAGTTCTGAAAAATTGTGATACAATGCTGATCTTCATCTTTTTCAAGTTTCAATCACAACTATAAACTTAAATTTTGATACAGTATTAGTATTGTATCAGGTATTGTTTTAGGTATTGATGTATCGGATACAAGTCAAATACAACTTTGATACAATTGCGATATAATTATGAAACAAATCTGATACATTTCTGATACAATTATCATACAATCGTGATACAACTTAGATTCTTCTTCTTCTTCTTCTTCTTCTTCTTCTTCTTCTTCTTCTTCTTCTTCTTCTTCTTCTTCTTCTTCTTCTTCTTCTTCTTCTTCTTCTTCTTCGAGTTTCAATATAAAATTTTGCCTAAAAATAACTCTAAACTTAACCAATCTCCCTCAAAATTAAGATATAAAACTCCAAGATATTCTCAATCGTTTTCAAGAACACACAATCCAAACAAATCACAAATTCATAAAACTCAAATATTGAATTCAAAGCTTTGAAGTTTTTTAATGATTGTCAATGGAGAACTCTTTATTGCTGTAATTTTAGAGATAATATCGATGGATTTGTGTGAAGAGGGGGAGATTTGGGTTGATTTGTACGAAAGAGAGAAATATTTTGAAATCTGTTTGAAAATGTGATGAAAAAAGAGGCTTTTGTATAACAGATAGGGACATGGACCGGGTTGGTTCAACTATATTGGTTTGGATTGGTTCGATTTTGTCGGGTTTTTCAGGTTTTCGGGTTTTTTGTTACTTAAATTTCAATCCTACTTTGTTAAATATTTGTAAATATATATATTTAGTAAAAAAATATAAAAAATTGACAACCACATTATCGATTAAAATATTCTTATGGGAGAATTTTATTAGTAATAATACATAATAGTTAATTTTTTAGTCGTCTGACAATAATTTTTCGTTGATGTACACTTTCAGGTTAACCGAATTTAGTAATTAAACATAAAAATCAATATGATACCTAAATATAATAATCACTTCACATTCGAAAAAGATCTTAATATAATAGATCTTAATATATGATATGAATATGGAAGAACAAAGAGATAGATGCATTTCAGTAACACTTGATAAGAAAGTGCCCATACATTATTTAAGGTCAATAAATATAGAGCACTTCATATTCTATTAAAATTTATATCCCGTATGAGAACCCCAAATATTTCTAGATATTTTTTAAAGAAAATTCTATATAAAATCTTAAAAGTATATATAAAAATTATATATTTATATGTCGGGTTGGTTCGGATTTTTTTTACTCAATACCAAACCAAACAAAGTCGGATTTTTTAATCAGTTTGGTTTGATTTTTCGGTTCGGTTGGTACACCCCTAATAACAGATATACATGAGAGTGAAGATGGGGAGGGGAGCGGCGTGAGGAGGGGGTTATATCAGTTACATCCTAATTTTAAGGGATGCTCTTTTTATTAAGATTTTGTATATAAATAGTAAATATAGATGATAGAGAATGTAATATTTAAGGAAGATAAAGAAAATGGGTAAATAAGTTTCTATTATAATCATTTTTATTATATTTTAACAAATTATTGGGTCTCTTTTCTATGTATCCTGAAACTGATTATGTGTAGTGTCAACAACACACTAAGTTATTATTTACAGCCTAACTTTGGAGTGCCAAATCAAATAAATATATATACAAGTGAAAGTATATAGGAAACTTGATACGTACTTACCTAGATTAATTTATTCAATACGTTGAATTTAGCTAAATATTAAGCTGTCCAGAGAGAGAGAGAGAGATCATTTTTGAATTATTTTAGCAGGAAACTATCAAATGGTCCAAATCAAAACTTAACAGAATGTAATACTTTCTAAAACACCTCAGCTATTGGTGTCTTCACAGAAAGCGGAAAAAAAACAAAGTTTTTCATTCAGTTATCTTCGGGGAAACGCAAGTGGTTTCCTTTAGGCAAATGCAAATTCAGCACACTCTTCTTCTACTCCTTCAAACTCATGATCGGTTGTAAACATTGATCTTGTTCATTGCTTCACATACTTCATCAACTATTAGTCTTTCATTTTCTTCATCAACCTCTTCTTCTGACTTTTCAGTAAAATCCAGTAGTAGAGATCTTGTAATATTACTACTACTCTCTTGTTTCTTCACTTCTAACATCTCATTCATTATCTAACATAAACAATTCAAATCTTTAATACCTCATATCAAACACCAAGAAATATAGTATAAAAAGATACTAGTATTATAGATAAATCTTTGTAGTTACCTTTTACATTATCAATCAATGTATAGAAGCTAAACTCTTCTGAAAATTGATACTTAGTATATACCTGAGAGATGACAAAGTTGTCCTGTACAGGAGATGCAGTGACAGGAGGCAGCAACTCATTACCAGAGAGATCCATAAGTGGTGTATTTGCAGGAGCAATAAGAAGACTCATTGGAGAATTAACAACACCTTTTACATGAAAAAGAGGCTGCCTTTTTTCCAATGAGATTTCAGCTTCTTCCTCAACCATTTGTAACAAGTTCTTCACTTGACACCTCAATATTGCCTCCCCTGACCCTGGAGTACAACACTTCCTTCCTTTTGTAAATGATGATGGGGTCTCCAAATTCCCACTTGCTAGCCCAACAATGGGTGAATTTGTTAAATCAATGAGAGCTGATCTTGACTTGGTTACTTCTTTGTTTTCAGATTCTTTAACTATCTCTGTTTAATAAAAAAAAAAAAGATATTAGTATTGGCACAAACAAGTTAAAGAAATTTTGCTATAAATGAATCTTCATTACTATTGGAAGCAGAAAGGACTTGTGATCTTGTTACTCTTATTGTTGATGATGGAGTTTCCATTAGAAAAATGACAGATTACTGACTTTGGGTTGCAGAAAAGTTGGCTTTCCTAATGCGCTAGCTGTATTCAGATTAAGAGAAATTAAAGGAAGAGTATAGAAAAGTGATGTAATTGGGGGAAAGAGAGAGAGTTTTTTTATAGGACTAGTGGAATAATGGTTGGAGAATGGGCAACAAAATGCGACCGTTATAACTAGCCGTTGGGATTTGGAGTTGGGTTTCCTGCTATAGGGTCTGCAGGCCTTTTAGGCCCAAGTTCTTTAGGGGCTTCCACATAGAGTAATTTATGCAAAATACTCATTGAGCTTAAAATAATTATAATTTCCTACCTATTTGAAGACTATTTATAATATATCTACCCAATTAAAACTAATTACCTTACTATCCACCCATTACCTATTTGACTTAGCTTAACTTGATTTGACTTAGTTTGGCTTGACTTGACTTGGCTTGAATTAGCTTTGCTTTGCTTGGTTTAATAGCTTAGTTTGACTTCATTTGATTGGCATTGATTGAGTATTAAAAAAAAGAGCAGGGGGCAAACCACATGGGCAGGGGTGGGGGTATTTGCCAAAGATCCCCTTTTGCATAATAGAGGTAAAACTAATAGCCCGTTTGGATTGACTGAAAAAATATTTTTTCAGTAGAAATATCTTTTAAACCAAAAAGCAGTAAGTTGGGATTGCACAGATTATTATTTTTGGCTTATTTTAAGCAGTTTTTAACTTATTTTAAGCACTTTATGGCTTTGTCAAACGCTGAAAAAGCTAAAAAGAACTTAAAATCTGATTTGACTAGCTTAAAAGCCAATCCAAACACCATTTAAGGATATTTCCAGTCCAATTGATTGGCCTACTTAATGCAAGTATTTGCCTTACGGGTATACGTTTTCGGAAAATGACATAGTATGACAACGCATAAGAGAATTGGTAATATTTTAACCTTATATTAGATTTGACAAAAGCAGCCAAAAATAATTGGCATTATATAGTCAAATCCTAAAAAAAAATAGTTCCTTATTTATTCTCTCTCATTTTTTCTTCTCTCTCCCCATATTTCTTCTTCTTTTCTCTCCCCGTATTTCAATTTTCTTTCAATGTAGCAATTTTTTCTCTTTCTCCCTATATTTCTTGTTCTCTCCCCAAGTCTCCCTCTTCTCCTGTATTTCTTCTTCAATCTTTTCTCTCTTCCATATTTCTTCTTCAATTTTTATGCTAGTTAGTTTCACATCATTAACCTATTTAAACTTTGATTTTTTTTCACCCAAATAAATCTATTATCAACTGGTAAGTCAAAGCCCCTTGAATTCTTTTCCCCAAATCCTCCAGAACGAAGCCCAGGTTACGGTACGTTGAGATGGGTGTTAAGCAGATTGAGGTCGGGTTCTCCATTTGTTGAGTATCAAAATTTTAGTTGAAGGCATCCATGCTCTCAGACATTTCCTCTTCTTCACTTTCTTTTTCAACAGGCAGATTCCAGTTTTCTTCTTCTTTCCTCTTCTTTATTTATTGTAGAAAAGAAAATATGTGTGTTTGAGATGGTGTACATTTATGTATCACCATGTATACTTGTATGTATATCATAGTGTATATCGTTGTTGGGATATACTATTAACCATGCAGTTTAGACATAATATTGTATTTTATTTTTTATGGAATAATTATTGATTTAATTTTATTATATTTTATTCTTTATGGAATAATTATTAATTTAATTTATTAAATTCAATAAAGTACTATTTTAAATAAATCATTTGTTACATGTGTGTCCTTTAGTTATGTAGTAGACAATTTAGTGTATGTAGTCTTAGCTCATGGACAGAAGATTAAATTGTCGGTTCTTATAATTAATAAACTATGTTCACAATCGAAAATATTGTTGGGCAAAATATCTTGATGATTGTAGCACAAGATTATAGTATAATTTCTCTTGATTATGGAAGTGATTTTACTCCGACTTCTTGTGCTAGTATACTTAGTATATATTTAACGGACCAAGTAGAGAAAATATATTTTTGTACTGAATATATAAAAAATATTTTCTCTAATTCATCAAATAAGCTTATACTCCTAATCTTGATATAATTATTATGATCAATGTGAATTATTTATTATTTTGATTTATCAAAAGGTACAACTCTATTCAAAGTTAGTGTATGCCTAATAGATTGGACAATAACAAATAACATTTGTGAAATAATAATTAGTTCATAGAATCCATGACTCGATTTTGAGTTTGACGATACCCCTTTATGTAAGCTTATAAGTTTTCATGTGAAAACCCGGCTGATGAATTTTGTATCCGTCACATGAAATAGTTTAAGCGGAATTATAGAGGATTTAATTAGTTGATTAAATTAAATTGTCAGTGATTTAATTTAATTCACCGGTATTTGTGATCTTAACATGGGGAGTTAAAATAAGCGTTAGTAAATTTTCGAAATTCAGATTGAGGAGTTCAATTGCAGTTTTTTAGTGGAATAAACTGCAATTATTTATAGTATGAATTAATTTATCCAAAATTTTGAATTAATACTATAATTGGTAGCCTCTTACTATTTCTGTGGTCCCTGCTATACCTAGTAAAAACCTGGACTGACTTGGATAAAAAGTGACTTGGGAGAAAAATCATCTTGTTGAGTTAGTTTAAGATTCTACTTGCACAAGTAGAATCCTACACGTTTTTGGAGCCCTCTTTGGCTGAAAAACGAGTTACATAAGAAAGGCATTTTTTATCCAATAACTTACTTTAAGAGTTGTATTGCTCTTGTCCACTCAAAGCAATTTCGTCCAAAGTCTTACTAGGACCATATCAGAAGACTGCAACATTGGATTCTTACTCTGTGGAGGACCTGTGCAACGTTTTCAAGAGGTTAGTGGTTTTAATCTCCGAATTATATCATTGTCTAGTTTACATGTTTGTGATGCTTGATTTGTATGCTTGCTTCTGCCGCGCATGTTCCAACAATCGTGATATACATTGTTAGATTTGGCAATATAAAGTTCAATCGAAATCAAATCGTCCAATTTGATTTTAAAAGCCCCCAAAATTCCAAAATTCAAGCCCAGCTTGAAATCTAATGAGGTCCAACAACTCTCAGAATTAGGCCCTAATTCCAGATGGGTTTCCGAAATTTCTCAGAAGCATGAACTAGAAAAGGTGCCAAGCTAAAGCATTAAAGTATTTGATTTTAAATGGTACTCCATGAGAGGGTAGTATTTGGTCAAATCGAAAATCAAATCCAATTTATGCTATTCGGATTTGTTTGGATCGGATTTTAGATATTTGAATCGGTTTATGGTTTCTTGATTTAATTAATTTGTATTCCGGTTCAGTTATGGTTTGGCTCATTTAAAATCCGTGATGATCCCCAATCCAAATTATATATTACACTAGTTAATTAAACATGCGCTTCGCGCGATCAAATATTCCTTTTTATAATTCAATTAATATAAAAAAATAAAAACTTTACGGTACCAAAAATAAAACAACAAATATATAGGGTGTGTTTGGTATAACGGAAAATATTTTCGTGAAAAATATTTTCTTGAAAAATAAATAGTAATCTTACTCATTTTTCGGTATTTGGTATGCAAATTAAGGAAAATAACTTCTCAAAAGTATTCATAAATAATTTAGATACAATAAACATGAAGCCATAAACTTTCGAACCAATAACCTTCCGAACCCACNGGTGGTGCAGAAAAACGAAAAAAAACAGAAAATTGAAGTTGGAGGGGGTGAGTGATTCCAAATTGCTTGTTGATTGTGTGAATGGACAATATATAGTTCCTGGAGGATATCTAAAGAAATTGAGGAGCTTAAAGAATTCAAGATTCGATCAAGCTATAGTCTTAAGCATTGTTACAGAGGGAGCAATCAAGTTGCTGATAAACTTGCCAATTATAGCCATACTCTCGCTCGTTCTAAAAATTTTCATGAATTTGCTGAACTCCCTCCTCAAGTTAGAGGCCTGATGAACATGGATAGATGGACTTTCCCTTCCCTCCGAAGGATTAGATTGAAGAAAGGCAATATTTTATTTCAACCACCATGATCATCAAAATTTTATATAGTAGTAAGGTAGTTAGTACTAGAGGTAACTCTTGTATAGAATGGAGTATTTATAAATACTTCACAATGTTATTGTCTTCCCAGCTCAAATGCATTTACCTCATCTCAAAATGTAAAAAGATAGGTGTGTCTATCTTTCAAGATGAACTAGGGAGGAGATGTTGCTATTCCCTCAACTCAATGTACTCTTTTGGAGATGAATAACATGCGATGTTTGTTTTGAAAAAAAAAAAGTTGGAGGGGGTTGGGGTTAGATGTGAGGGTAGGTGGAGTTTTGAAAAATATTTTCTTAACGTTTTCTAGATAAGTCATTTCCTTCAATTTCAGGAAATTATGCTATCTAGAAAAATATTTTTCAAACTATTTTGTGCAACCAAACAGTGAAAAATAAAAAAACCCAAATAAATAGAGCATTGCCTACCTATTTGTAGTTTTAAAATGACCGTTCTTAAGGACAGTCTGTTTACCCGAAAAACGGATGGAGTTAAATTTATACTTAGTTCTAAGGATATGTGGTGCAACTTAATACAAATCATGGAGATAAATAGAAATACCCAATATGTATCGCAAAGAATGCTAAATAGATAAGGTTGCAAAGAAAATAAAATTTAGGACCAAACAAGTGGAATCAATTTAGGAAGCTTGAAAGAACAACTCTTCACTATGGAGAATATGGTATTTTGTCTACTATGTAAGCATAAACTTGCCCCTTATAGAAATGATAACCATCTCTTTTATAGTAGAGTAATCTTACTCTAGATATAATTAAAAATAAATAGTGGGAGACCCATGATAAATCAGATTTTTCACAATTCCTGTCGAGATTCTCTCCTCTAGTGGGATTGCAACGGCTCTTGTCTATCAGCTCGATATTGACTTGAGTTTTCGGTCTTGACTCGAGCTCTTGATCTTGGCTCGAGCTAGATTATGACTCGGACCCTTGAAATGATTCGGGGTCAATGTTGGTCGGTCTCTGGATCATAAGCTCGATAATTTTACTTTGCATCACAGTTCGATTTGGATTCGG